GTGCCTGGTTGGAGACACTACAAGATATGGCTGCCAACCTATGTCAGTGGCGTTCTTGTTGTCAGTTTCTGTGCAGATTGCCTGAATGAATGTCTGGAGGTGTAGGCACCTCGGAATGATTGTGTCAAGCTAGCACTAAGTCCCTCCCCAATCCACCTTTATTCTTTTCTTTACAATAAGGCTTTCAAAAAAGTCATGGCTGTACGGTAGTGAAGCATTGGTGTTGACCACTGATGTCATGCTGTCGTTGATGATGATGAAAACGAAATAGTAAACTCGATGAAAAAGAGTACCTTTGGACCGCCAAAAAAATGGACCACGTGGCAAGTTTCCACCCTCTGTCTACCGTTTAGTTATGGTAGGATGGCATCTGTGAGCCAAAATAGCGCTACGTGCTGCATCATCTTAATTGGAATGCCATTTTGACAAAATGTTTCTACTATGGCTATAGCCAATAGCACATTGAACATCTGGCCGAAAATACAGCTTGTGAATACTGAAGCACCCAAGACCACTTCTAGGGAGCATGCTAAGTGATGGATGTTTTCCGCGACCAATGTACCTGCTGTATAATCCAATACTCCTTTTCTCATTCCATCGTTGAGAATTTGTCGGTGCCATCCGATGCTTCTGAGACATTGGTGATCAAGGTCTTAGATCACCTGCTCAAAAACACTGTCTCGCAAACATGCAATGCCATGCTTACTTTAACCTGGTATTCATGATCCTCGAGACCCACTGATAGCCTTTTTGACGCTACAAGAGACGCAAATTAGCAAACAAGATTCGGGCATCGAAATTCGTGCACTTCTCTCAAAGCTAATACAACTACCGAAGAATGTGGCCTCTGCTGTATAGCTCGAACGTTCGTTGGTCAGGATGGCGACCAGAGGCATCGAAGACGAAACCGAGATACTTCACTGTTATCAAGAATAAACGATACTTCTCAAGACGTAGACGAATGATATTGTCCTGAATGCGCAGCAAGACGGCGTTGATCCGATCAAAAGGCTCTTCGGGTG